AGTAGGAGAGGTATGGAAGTCCATTACTGCCAAGAAATGGAGCCGTTTTTAAAAAACGGCTACTGAAAAACAAACCTGAGACTAAACTTTATTCCAACTCAACAATGGCATTAATATTCATGTTTATCTAAAATGGCTTCATGGCCAGTCATAACGAGTAATGTAGTTAATTTATTAAATATATCTGCATGTAAAGTGAAAATACTTGTTTTTTAAATAACTGGGAGCAACAAAATCAAACTTTCATAAATCATTTGAAAAATTATCAAGGAAACAACCAAAATCCTATGAAACTACTTTTTCCAAAATGAGTTATGATTTGATCTAATTTCTTTTGCTTCTGTACTAAGAATATTTCCTAACATTAAAAGTACTTTGCCACCTCCTGCTGGTAAACCCCAGACTTGCAATTGAGAAACCTTTAAAATCATGAGAGTAAAACAGCAGTTTGATAAATGTAAAAGCATAGTTTATATAAAAAGAGACAAATTCCAATGTTCTACAACATTAGCAGAGAATGCCACAAATTGAGGTACCGATTAACTAATTTTCCTTTTTTGCTGTGAAAAGACACAAGTGAGTACATTTCAAAATATTCAAGACAATATTATGGCAAACATAAAGATTGTTGATCACAAGTCTGTAGTGTTTTCTGAAATAAGAAAAGTTATTTTCTTCCAAGCTGCATTTTCTGAATACCAATGTGGTTAAAGTCCAGAGAAAACAAGGTGAAGGTTGGCGTCATGACAAAAAGAAAAACCTTCCCATTTTTTGACCCGATTAGAAAGTCTGTTTCGACAATCTGTTTAAAGGAGACCTATTATGCAAAATTCACATTTTGCAAACTTTTGTACTTCCACTACTTCTAAAAGAGACTCAAGTTCGAAATGAAAACTTTCCAGACAGTTTTTGGCAGTAAGTTAGTGTTTTTTGGAAAATGAGTCGTTTTAAAAACCTCAAGATTATTGAGTCACTCTGCACAGTCACAAACAGAGATCCAGCACATTTAGTAAGCCGGTCTTAAGGCTGTATTAGATGTACAATGACTGCTGGATAAGACAAGTGTTTTGTTGTTCACCTACCATCCAGAAATTACTTGCTACATTCTTGTTGGTTGTACAGGAGGCTCTACTTCTGCTTTTCAAATGCAGCATTCCCAGAATGCTATGTGGTTCTGGATCAGAGTTCAGTGAAATGGTTAAATATTCTATCAGATGTAATATCTATTGATACTGATCACGTGTCTGTCACAATATATATTGTTAAGGGTTTATTGTCCAGCCCAAGATGTCGGGTTGCGCATTTGTTTGCAGCCATTTTTACCTTACAGTGTTTCATCAGCTTATTTGGATTTAAAGTGACAGAGGCCTTTCATTTTGAAAGGAGCTCAAAATAGGCAGAACTGAGCAAGCTAAAATCTAAGAATAATTTTGTGCAAAAAATGTTACAAACATGGTTTGTATATCCTATAAACATATCCTAGACTGTTCAAGGAAGCATAACAGGTCACCTTTAAAATAAATAAATCAAAGTCACGTTTAAAACATTTCATTGTCACAAAAGAATAAGAGAAGAAGGCATGTACTGAAAATAACCTGAATTAGCAAAAACTGACAAGGCAGCTCTTGGTACGCTTCCTACAAAGACAGCTGTGTGCTACCACTGCTCCACGTTGCCTATGTAGTCCTCCATGGTGCTGTTCTCATCTACATCCCACCAGTCTGACAGAAGCACTTCGGACTCCAGGCTGTCCTCCGTTCGACGCTCTTCGGTCGAGCGCGTTGTTTCAGTCGGCTTTGGCCGCCGCCCTAGTTTTGCTGAGAATCTCCCCCGGAGCCGCCTCCTCTCCTGTTGTCGCCGCTCCCTGGCCTGCCTGCGCTCCTGCTGTCTCGCCACCTGGAAGCGCTGCAGGAAAAGGTCACGGGCGTACTCATACAGCTCCACGTCCCACCGGTTCAGCTGGCGAATCCTCTGCTGCGTCTCGGTGGGTACCTCAACGCTGGAAGCTCGCGTCCCGTTCAGCTGCGTGAAAGGTGCGATGAACTGTAAGTTGAAGGTTCTCTCGAAGAGGTACTGCGTCTTACGCTGGTACTCGGTCAGGCCGAAGAATGCCATCCCTTTCAGGTTGCGCTTGGCGCTGTCCAGTAGCACCGCCCAGCGCTCGTCTTCGCCCATGGCGGAGACGTTGTAGCAACCCACCAGACTGAGATCTGCCAACATGCGGGTCTGTCGGTTGTTGGCCAGGTTGTAGGGGCAGTCCATGAACTCCTGCAGGGAGCAACCCGACCAGTCGTCGCCTGGATAGCAACTTGGCAGCTCTGACAGCGTTGGTGAACGTCCGTCGCACACGTGGAGGGAGGCTTTCCAAGTGGCTCCGCGTTGCACGTGACGCCACTCGCTCAGGTAACGCGAAACGGGATCTCTTAAGATCGTTATGTAGTAATAGTTTCTACTAGAAAGAGGAGAAAACGGAAATTAGTGTTTGCAATTAGGACAGTAGCAATAAGCAAAAAATTAATTAATTGTATGATAAATTAAAACAAACTCAATTTCCATTTGCATGACTTATCGTTTTTCTTTTTTTTTTTTTTTTATTAAAAAACTGAATAACCAAAACTTTCAGTCTGGTGCTTTGGACTCAACTCGTCCTTTCATTCAAGGACTATTTTGTCTACAGAAACGTCATAATTTATTTTATTTATTGTTTCTGTTGTTTTGTTTATTTACTTTGGATATTTAAAAAGATATTCTGATTCCAGTGTTAAAATGTCCATTACAATTTAAAGTTTACTGATCTTTGAGAATATGTTCTTGTAATATTATGGCATTACAAGAATGTTAGTTGAAAATGGTCTCAAAATAACAATTGATATTGTTTATCAAAATAACTTCTAGGACAATTTGTTGTCCAGCTAAATTTGTTATAATGGCAGGCCTAAATTTCTAGATTTTCAATACATTAGGTTTATATTGGTATTCCCCAGCTATTATTTTCCATTTACATCAAAACCTGGAAGATAAAAATTGCTCAATAACGTGAATTTAACGTGATCTTCCTCTAACCTTGGCTGGTTTTTCTGGGCCTCTCTGGAGTCCATGCGCGATGGGACACAGTGGGTCAGCTCAGTCCAGTCCGCATGAAGCCCGCAGCTCCATCCGGTGGAAAACCGAGAGAAGAGCCAGGTTTCCTTCTTACCTGGCCGGAGGCAGGTGCACTTCTTCTGGCCTGCGTGACACTCACAGGGCCTCTCCAGCTGGATGTTACGCACCAGGTGTCGCCCAAAAGTTGTGCCCCCCGTTTTCTGGATGTGCAGAAATACAATGACATCATCGCCTTTGATGTTGAAGTCCACTTCCCGGTTCAGGTCGGCGCTGGTGAAGTTGAAACGAGGGACAAATCGGGCCAAAGCGCCGTCTTCTGTGATGTAGGGGTCCTTCTGGAGCCCGACCTGCGATTCACCGTCGCCGGTTCGGATGCCAGGTCCGCCCCTGAGGGTGAACCAGGCCCCCAGCTGGTGGAGCATTTGGCACTCGGAGCTGCTGGGACAGGCATACTGGACCATGAAAACGCCGAAAACCGCCACCATGAGCAGGAAGAGCAGGAGCCGCTGGTGGCTGCTGGTGGACTTCTCATCCATCTTCCCGAACCCGATGAAAAACCATCCCTCGGGTCCCCGTTTCAGAGCAGCAGACAGGAAACAATAACAATGCAGCTGAAAGCCGAGAGCGAGCGGCGTTAGGTAACCAAGTAGTGAATCACAGCGCAGCGCTGTCCGGGTCCATCTGGGTCTTACGAGGCAGAACCGGGCGGTTCTGTTAACTCTTGTGGACGGTTTAGTGGTTTAAAATGATCTTCTTAACAGGGCTAATGCTCATCTTCAGCACCAATCGATTCTTGACCTTTCTTCCCGTGAGTCACTGCGCGTAAACGTGCGTCATCCCGCTACGTCAGCGTGGACTTCATTTCCAGTGTAGTTTTTTTAGGGTAAAAATGCAAGGAGTTGCCTACAAATGTTTTAAATGATTCAAAAATAAAACAAGAGGTTTCCGAAGAAACATTTTTTAACCAAACATTTAATTAAAAATGCTGAATATGATACTTTAGTTGAAATAACGTCATGAAGAGAAAAATTCATGAAGGTGTGAACTGACAAAATTTATATGAAAAGCAGTTTAAAAATGAAATTCCTGTTACTACATTCACCAGAGGTGTTAAAAATCCAGGTACTATTGAAATAAATGGCTCCATTAAAACGTGGGTAAATTTTTTTCTAATTTTTATAGAAATGATAAAAATGTAATTCTTATGATAAGAAGAAATTTATTATGATATCAATATATAATAGATGTTTATAAATGCATAGATCTTCATCTGACATTGTTTGCATGTATGCAAGTTTGTAAGCTTGAACAACATAAAGCCACAATAAACATCTGAATGAGTGATTATGTAATATGATACGATATGTATATGAATGCATTAGGAAATTTCTTTCTTATTTTGAAATTAGATAATTTATTTGAATGATTTTTTTATTTCATTGCAGTATTTAAAATACCAATATTTGCACATAAATTCATGTTTTGGTCTGACTATTGACATCATTTTTAATATTGAATCAAATTTTACATTCATTTACTCAGTACTCAAGTTGTTGTTTTTGATCAAAGACTTTTTACTCCTACTTAAATTATTTCTAGGGAAATAATTTTACCTGAAAACAAATATTGTTTCATTTTGTCTTAATTTCTGTGCTGCAATCTGAAGTAGGATTGTAGTTCTCACAATGAGCCACCAGGTGGCGGCATTTAACAATCATGACCTCAAATCACAAGCCAAACTGTTTTTCTCTGATCCATCCAGCTGGCTGTACTTGGTACAGATCATACAGATTGCGTTTTTAAACAAAAGAAGAAGACAATGTCATCTGCGATAGGCCTTTAGAAAAAAAGGAAGTGACGCACCTTTCTTTGAGAAACTATTAAGCGGGAAAGAAAAAGTCCGTCAGTGTCACTTGTTGAAACAGAAAACTAGTTATAGATTTAGATATTGTGCACGGAGAAGAATAAATTCACACCGCAGTAAGAGGGGACTGAAAGGTAAGTAAAGTCTAATAAGTAGGAACGACTGGAATCCAAATTTAGTCGACCAGGAAACTGCAGACTTCTACCAGGAAAAGCAGTGGGAAAAGGACGTCAGTGTCATAAAATGGTGGTGTTTGCGGTGGTGAGGCAGCACGCTGGAGACCCAGGTAAGTGAACGGTGGTGTAATTTAATAACAAAATAATCCACAAAAACAGTCCAAACAGTAGTCCGCGGCCAGGCAGCACGGCTGAGCAGAAGCCAGGGCTCACACCGGTAGCAACTGGTCTTAAGGGCGGCACAAAAAAACAACAACGACAATCTGACTGACAATGACAAACAACGACAATCTGACTGACAATGACAAACAACGACAAGGACCCGACCAGGAACAAAGGACACAGGAGGGACTAAATACACTGAGGGTAATCAGGAGAACAAGACACACCTGGGAACAATCAAGGGGAAGACAGGACAACGAGGAGAACTCAGGACACAGAAACTCAGAATTAAACACAGAACCTGACAGTACCCCCCCCTTAAAGGGCGGCTACCAGACGCCCAAAACCAAAATCCAAAACTCAAAAACCAGGGGGGCGGAGGGGCGACAGAAGGAGGGCCAGAGTCCAGAAAACAAAAAACTACCCACAAAAGGTGGGCGGAAACACAAGGAGGGGCCAAGAGTCCAAAACTAAACAGAAAGTGGGCAGAGGCGTCGAGGGGGATCCGGTGGGCGTCCTCGGCGCCCCACAGGGGAGGTCCGGGGGGCGTCCTCGGCGCCTGCGGCAGACCCACAGGGGAGGTCCGGAGGGCGTCCATGGTGCCGAGGAACACTAGGGGGCACTGGAGGAACACTAGGGGGCACTGGAGGAACACTAGGGGGCACGGGAGGAACACTAGGGGGCACGGGAGGAACACTAGGGGGCACGGGAGGAACACTAGGGGGCACGGGAGGAACACTAGGGGGCACGGGAGGAACACTAGGGGGCACGGGGGAGCACTAGGGGGCACTGGAGGAGCACTGGGAGGCTCGGGAGGAACACTAGGGGGATCGGGAGGAGCACTGGGAGGCTCGGGAGGAGCACTGGGAGGCTCGGGAGGAGCACTGGGAGGCTCGGGAGGAGCACTAGGGATCTCGGAAGGAGCACTAGGGATCTCGGAAGGAGCACTAGGGATCTCGGAAGGAGCACTAGGGATCTCGGAAGGAGCACTAGGGATCTCGGAAGGAGCACTAGGGATCTCGGAAGGAGCACTAGGGATCTCGGAAGGAGCACTAGGGATCTCGGAAGGAGCACTAGGGATCTCGGAAGGAGCACTAGGGATCTCGGAAGGAGCACTAGGGATCTCGGAAGGAGCACTAGGGATCTCGGAAGGAGCACTAGGGATCTCGGAAGGAGCACTAGGGATAGAGGCTGCCGGAGCAGCGGCACGAGGAGCAGAGTCCACGGAGGCCGGAGCGGAATCCGGCGGAGCAGGAGCCGGAGCCGGAGCGGAATCCGGCGGAGCAGGAGCCGGAGCGGGATCCGGCGGAGCAGGAGCCGAAGCCGGAGCGGGGTCCGGCGGAGCAGGAGCCGAAGCCGGAGCGGGGTCCGGCGGAGCAGGAGCCGAAGCCGGAGCGGGGTCCGGCGGAGCAGGAGCCGAAGCCGGAGCGGGGTCCGGCGGAGCAGGAGCCGAAGCCGGAGCGGGGTCCGGCGGAGCAGGAGCCGAAGCCGGAGCGGGGTCCGGCGGAGCAGGAGCCGAAGCCGGAGCGGGGTCCGGCGGAGCAGGAGCCGAAGCCGGAGCGGGGTCCGGCGGAGCAGGAGCCGAAGCCGGAGCGGGGTCCGGCGGAGCAGGAACGGCAGCCGGAGCGGGGTCCGGAGCAGGAACGGCAGCCGGAGCGGGGTCCGGCGGAGCAGGAACGGCAGCCGGAGCGGGGTCCGGCGGAGCAGGAACGGCAGCCGGAGCGGGGTCCGGCGGAGCAGGAACGGCAGCCGGAGCGGGGTCCGGCGGAGCAGGAACGGCAGCCGGAGCGGGGTCCGGCGGAGCAGGAACGGCAGCCGGAGCGGGGTCCGGCGGAGCGCACGAGGAGCTGAGGATGGAGCTGGGATGGGCTGCCGGAGCGGATGTCTGGCCTGGGAGGCAGAGGTTTAGCATCCCAGGCCGCAAAGGCTGTCCGGCGTATCTCCTCTGCCTCCCGCTGCAGCTCCACCAGCGCGGGGTGCGGGAGACGAGGAACCCAATAGTCCAATAGCAGGCCCAGGCGTATCGCGAACCCTGGCCGTCTCAGGGCGAACGTGGACGTGGTTTTTGACTCCTCGTACTCACCGATGGTTCGGAGTAGCTCCTCTAAACCCTCTGGGTCCATGATTTTAAAGCGTGCCTCACCGTATTTTCTGGTCGGATCCTTCTGTCATAAAATGGTGGTGTTTGCGGTGGTGAGGCAGCACGCTGGAGACCCAGGTAAGTGAACGGTGGTGTAATTTAATAACAAATAATCCACAAAAACAGTCCAAACAGTAGTCCGCGGCCAGGCAGCACGGCTGAGCAGAAGCCAGGCTCACACCGGTAGCAACTGTCTTAAGGGCGGCACAAAAAAACAACAACGACAATCTGACTGACAATGACAAACAACGACAATCTGACTGACAATGACAAACAACGACAAGGACACGACCACAAAACAAAGGACACAGGAGGGGCTAAATACACTGAGGGTAATCAGGAGAACAAGACACACCTGGGAACAATCAAGGGGAAGACAGGACAACGAGGAGAACTCAGGACACAGAAACTCAGAATTAAACACAGAACCTGACAGTCAGCCATTACGTTTGGGAAAATTTTTTGATTAATTAACAGACTAACAAAATAACTGAATGATTATAGAAGCATTTTGATTTTCCGATTGCATAATCGTAGCACTTTATTTGAAGGGTTGTTCATAAGACTGACACGACACTGTCGTATTGCGACATAACATGTTATGAACATGAAGGAATCTTTATCAATGTTTATGACTTTTGGCGCGAAGTGTCATTCGGTAAATAATGACAGATCTTATTCTCTGATATGTTTATTTTTGGTTTCCTCCTTTACATCTGTAGCAGCAGCATAAATGGCATGAAAAACAGATAGTGTAAGAAATGAAAAGTGAATAAACTATTGTCATTTCCAGAGTTAATTCCCGATCCCACTGTGCTACTCATCCATCCATCACTTGCATCTTCTCCCTTTGTGTTATAAACTTTATATTAAAACAGAAAATAATAATTATTTATAAACTAGGCATAGTTTCTGTTGTTAATCATTTCAAACACCATCAGATGTAATACAGTGCTCTGTTATGACTGATGCACTGTCATTTTGTGTCTTAATAGGTTGTTTGTGTGAGTGTTTGGTATTCTGCCATGAATCTCCTCCAGCAGGACGTTTTACCACTTGGAGAGGATGAAAGGGCAAGGAAAGTTCAAAGGTCAGGCCAACTTCCAATAGGAATAATGACTTATTTATCTTAATCTGTGTTCAGCGTTATTATGTTGGCGAACAGAAATTGTCAGCTGCAAACATGTTGCAGGGTTTGTTTTAATTTTAAAAATGCTTGATATCATTTGCATTTTCTGTTGTTCTGAAGGCCAGTTGTCCAGCAGCACATTGAAGACACTGCTAAACCTGAAATTACTGGGCCGGTTCCAGTTCCTGACCCAAGCTGTGTGTCCATGAAAAGTGACTGGTCCAAGCAGTCTCCTCCCTATTTCAGTGCATCTGTTGATGAGAGGTAAAACAGAAAAAAAAACATTTTATATATGACAAAAATACTATTTATTTAAAAATATTGTTGAAGCTTGAAGCATACAATGAAATATGTCAGAATTGTTGGTGTTTTTGTTTCAGAATCAAGGCCAAGTCACATTTTTCAGTTGGTAGTTGTTCTTCGTCCTGGACCAACAGGTCAAAGGAAGACATCATTAATTTTAAAGAACTTCCACCTGCTGATCAAATGTAAGCTACAACTCATTCTGCCAAAAAGCAGATTTTGACACAATTAAATGCTTGATTGTCTTTGTTTGACCTGCATACTTTAGCTATTTAAAAATGTTCATACAAGTGTTATAAAGAAGTGGATTTAATAATCTAGAGTTTTTGTTTTTGTTGTTTCCTATGTATGTTTTCTTATTGTCATTAATTAATTTGCATGAAAGTACTTCTGTTATGTTAAAGTTATGTTATGTTAAAGTTAATGTTGCTCTCCAATGTTTTTCCTCAACAGAAGTCATCAAAGAAGATACTTACTTTCCTTTCAACCAAATGACAGTGACTGCCATCTAAAGGAACGTGAACCTTCTACAAAGAAGTATGCTACTGAAAAGTGTTTCATATTCACAAGCTTTTGAAGTGATATTGTATATAGAAATAAAAAGCACATTTAAAAGTGATATTAAAAAGAACACATATTAATTCAGTGAACTATTTTACATAAGAATAATTGGTGAATTTGATATCTCTGAAATCAAACAAATCTTGATTTTATCAAAGTTATGTGAATGATTATGACACTAATAGTAACAGTTCAAGTGTATTTATTGTCTGTTTATCCATTAGGAGGAAACTGGACTGTTCAGACTGCACTGAACCTGATCTCGAACCTGGATTCGAAAATAGTGATTCACGCTCTGGAGATGGACTCCATGATGCAAATCACAGGTGAGGATTGGTGGTAAAACCTTGATCATGTGGGATTATGATACTCCCAGTTGTAAGGTCTAATATTTGTCATTTATCATTCTGCGTGAAGACAAGTTGAGACTCTTTATCTGCCACTATTTTCTAAAATTTCTCTCTCAAGAATCAACCCCCTTCAGAGTTCCTGAAGGTCTTTTAGACTTTGTTTATCGGTTTGCTTTGATTTAGGGATTACTTAATTGCAATCCCTGTACTTGGCATTTCTCAGATTAAGTATAGGGACCTATTGTTCTGGTATTCTGACCAGCAAATAATCTGCACAGTGTAGTAAGAGAAGGATGAGAGAGACTGTAGGCGAGTTAATGGTTTCTATTGACTTTCTTAACGCCACAGAAGAGCCACAGACTGACCTTCTATTATTGGTGCAGTAAATCATGCAAAAGGAAACCAGTCATTGAGGGCTTATATTATACAATAGATGGACATACAGTACTGTTAAATAATGGCGGTGTCATATAATATTCTCATTTTCTGACTAGCGGAAGTTTCTGTATATTAAAGTTAAAATAACTTAATACTTTGAATGCATCATTTTGTTTATTAGATTTACTTTTTAAATTGAGAAATAAGTAAACTTTAATAGTATTCATAGTAGGAGGAAATATTCTGATTTTAAACCTGAAATTTAGAAAATCCTTTGAACACATGCAGAATTGTTATGCAAAGCTGTTTTTAGACTTCACAAAATGTCTGTAATTGAAGGCAAATACAAAGTAATGACGAGGGCTTCTGAAGTGTTTTACTTTGATTTTTTTTTTCAGATTTGAAAATGAGAGCATGAAGTTTACCAGTCACCAATCAACCCAGCAGCACCTCAACTCCATATTTATGGTCTGTACATTAACACCAAATCTGCTGTAGTGACTGAAAATGATTTGGTTACCAAGCAGAAGGAATGTTTAGATATTTTTTATACAGTCCTTGTAATTGATTTTCTAATCTGTTTCAGGCTTTGGAGGAAAACATTGTTGCTTTTGTCAGGAATGAATTGAATCACATTTTTAAGGCTGTGGCTTCTGGTTGCCCAGAAGACGGTCAAAGCAATGTGAAGGATGTGTCGAAGGGTGAGGATGAAGAGCAGAAGAGGAGCAGCAGAGAGGCAGTTCTGAAACTTGCCATGAACTTCCTGAAGACCATGAAGCAGGAAAAGCTGGCTCACCTTCTACAATGTGGTGAGGATTTAATGTGTTGGCTACATAATAACGTAAAATTTTCTTTTTTTTTGATTGATTTGTTAAATATTCTGTCTCATCTTTCAGGGACTAGTGCTGCAGTTGGTCAACGTAAGCTTAAATCTAAGCTGAAAAAGAACTTCCAGTGTGTGTTTGAAGGGATTGCTAGACAAGGAAACCAAACCTGTCTGAATCAGATTTACACAGAGCTCTATGTCACAGCGGGCGGGAGAGCATCAGTCAGCGATCAACATGAGTTCATGCAGATTGAAACCGCCAGCAGGAACTCAGACAGAGGAGAAACCAAAATCACACACAAACAAATATTTGAGAGTTTTCCTGAAAAACTTCGACCAATCAGAGCAGTGATGACAAAGGGAGTGGCTGGCATTGGCAAGACAGTCCTGACACAGAAGTTCACTCTGGACTGGGCTGAAGGCAGAACCAACCAGGACGTCCACTTTGTGTTTCCATTCATGTTCAGAGAACTGAATGTGCTGAAAGAGAAGAAGTTCAGTTTGATGGGACTTGTTCATCACTTCTTTACTGAAACCAAAGAAATCTGGGACTTTGAAAAGTTCCAGGTTGTTTTCATCTTTGATGGCTTGGATGAATGTCGACTTCCTTTAGACTTTGACAACAACGAGATCCTGACGGACGTGACGGAGTCTGTGTCTGTGGATGTGCTGTTGACGAATCTCATTAGAGGGTACTTGCTTCCTTCTGCTCGCCTCTGGATAACCACGCGTCCTGCAGCAGCCAATCAGATTCCTCTTGAGTGTATTGACCTGGTGACAGAAGTCAGAGGGTTTGCCGATCCGCAAAAGGAGCATTATTTCAAGAAGAAAATCAGGGATGAGGAGCAGGCCAGGAGGATCATCTCCCACATCAAAACAACGAGATCTCTCCACATGATGTGTCACATCCCCGTTTTCTGCTGGATCACAGCCACAGTTCTGGAGGATGTGTTTAAAACCAGTGAGGGAGAAAAGCTGCCAAAAACTGACTGAGATGTACATCCACTTCCTTGTAGTTCAGACCAAAGTAAAGAGCTTGAAGTACGACGGAGAAGATAACCACTGGAGTCCAGAGAACAGAAAGATGATCAAATCTTTGGGAAAACTGGCATTTGAGCAGCTACAGAAAGGAAACTTAATCTTTAATAAATCAGATCTGGAAGAATGTGGCGTTGACGTTCGAGCAGTCTCCATTTCTTCAGGAGTGTTCACTCAGATCTTCAAAGAGGAGAAAGAAGGCCTGTACCAAAACAAGGTGTTCACTTTTGTGCATCTCAGTGTCCAGGAGTTTCTAGCTGCTCTTTATGTCCATTTGATGTTCCTTGACTCTGACGTCAATCTTCTGGAAGACGAGAACTCATCTGAGTTTGAAGATTTCTACCAGACTGCTGTGAATATGACACTCAAAAGTCCCAATGGACATCTTGACTTGTTTCTCCGCTTCCTCCTGGGCCTTTCACTGCAGAGCAATCAGACTCTGCTGCAAGGCCTCCAGAGAAAGTCGAGCGTCGGCACACAGGCGGATATTAGCCCAATTATTATTAATGATACAAGTCAATACATCAAAAAGAAGCTAAATGAAGGTCTTTCTGTAGACAAGAGCATCAATTTGCTTTACTGTCTGAATGAACTAAATGATCATTCCTTAGTAGAAAAGATTCAAGAGTCTTTGGCCTTGGAGAAACTTTCCACAGACGAGATGTCACTGGCAGACTGGTCAGCACTCGCGTTCCTTTTGCTGTCCTCAGAAAAAGACCTGGATGTGTTTGAGCTGAAGAAATACTCTGCCTCAGAAGAGGCTTTCTTGAGGCTGCTTCCTGTAGTAAAAACAGCAAACAAAGCTCTGTAAGTACCGCTATGATTAGCGGTAAAATTTACTGGTTCACTAACAAAAAATAATTAATGCAAGATATGAACTTGTGGTCAAATATTTGTCGACATAATTTACAAAAATACTACATTCTCTGATGTTAGCTTTTGGCCTTTTGGATTCTTGTTAAAAATACTTGCTTGTGCTGCAGTGTGAATGCATGTAGGCTTGCCACAATAAGCAATAAATCAATTAATTGCACGACAAATTAAAATTAACTATTTCCATTTGCATGATTTATTGTTTTTCTTTCTACGAAGAACTGGATGACATAAATCTTCAATCTGGTGCTTTGGTCTCTCAAAATTTTTAAGACAAATTTGAGACTTCATAATTTTATTTATAGTTTATTTTTTGTTGATTTATTTTGGATGTTTATATCCAAAATTGTTAAAATTGTTTGAAATTAGAGAATTTGTTTTTGTATTTTTACTTTTTAAATGTTTTTTTTTTCACATATTTGTTAAGCTATCAGTGTGTCCTGACAGTTTGTTATAGATAATCTGATAAAAATCTATTTTCCTCCCTCTATGTGGTTCTCTTGCCATCTGCAGAAATATATTCCCTATTGTGTTTTTATTTTTCTACAAAGTACACATTTCAAAGAAATAGCTTATTGTATGAAATTAAATAAAGAAATCCTGGAAATAATTTGTGGAAGTATTTATGTATATGAATTGATTTTAGTCTGACATTTTTCAAACTTTTCCTTTCAGGCTGAGTGGTTGTAACCTGTCAGAAGGAAGCTTTGAGTCGTTGTCCTTGGTGCTCGGCTCCCACTCATCTGCCCTGACAGAGCTGGACTTGAGTATCAACGACCTCAAGGATTCAGGAGTAAATCAGCTGTCAGCTGGTCTCAAGAGTCCTTATTGCAAACTGGAAGTACTCAGGGCTGGTTTTATGTTTTTGTTCAATATTTTTATCATTTTAAATAAGATATAACATTTTGCTTTATTTCACAATAAATAAAATTGCTGTGAAGTGCTTTGTTATTAAGCACTTGTTTTAAGGTGATAATAATTATTCTTTTTATTATCTAATAGAAAACTAATGGGTACAGTTCTTGCTGAATAGTTGTCCAAAATGTGTTTTTTATGCCAACAGGTTGAGTCTCTGTAACCTCAACGAGAGGAGCTGTGAGATGCTTTCCTTTGTGCTCAGCTCCAAATCCTCTATTCTGAAAGAAATGGACCTGAGCAACAATGACTTGGAGGACGTGGGGGTGAAGCTGCTCTCTTCTGGACTGGAGAGTCCTCACTGCAAGCTCCAAAACCTCAGGTCAGATTAACCAGTGTTATTCGATATGAGGTTGAACAGACTAATCCAAAGGTATTGATGTATTTGTCTGTTAACAGACAGATGAATGTGCATTGCTCAGGCTTAGCATTTTCTTGATTGGGTTGTGGTTTGTCTGCAGACTGTCTGGGTGTTTGGTCACAGAGGAGGGATGCAGGTCTCTGTTCTCAGCGTTGAGCTCCAACCCGACCCATCTGACCGAACTGGACCTGAGCTACAACCATCCGGGAGAAGCAACAGTGAAACTTTTCTCTGCAAAGCTGCAAGATCAAAACTGGAAACTGGATGTTTTAAGGTGTCAGTTGGATGAATGGAATTATTTTATGTGTTAATATGAGTAGATTATTACTCATATAACAAATTATTGTTATTTTACTGTCATTATCAATAGTTTTTATTTTGTTTGTTATATAACTAACATTATGCAAGTATAGTATATGGTATATATACATTAACGGGAAGTTGGTAATTATTCTGATTGTTATGAGAGTCAGTTTATAATTTTTTTTATGTAATATAATTTACTTGTTTCTTTATGACATTAAATTGAACAGGCATATAAATACCAAAACATGTTTTAATTACACATTTCTGATAATTCAATTGTGCTTAAAGAGACTGAATTACTTTGTTTTTTGTTTTGTTTTGCAGGATAGAGCCTTTTGGAGAACAATGGCTGAGACCTGGCCTGAGAAAATGTAAGTATAATTTTAAATAAGCTGCACAAACTTCCTATATTTCACCTGAAACCATACACTGCAAAAACATAAAATCTTTCCAATTATTTTTGGTCTAGTTTGTATTGCAAATATCTTAGTATACTTGAAATAAGACAAAGCTAACAAATAAATGTTCAGCAAGATATAACAATAAGTAAACTTTTTTTTATATAGCACTTTTTACAAGTCAGAAACTACAAAGTACTTTAAAAAAGACATAAAAATATATAATGAAACAGACACAAAAGGCTTATTTTAAGTTAATAACTTTGATTAAAAAGTATTTGTTCCACTGACAGATTATTTCACTTATAACACGGTAAAATGTCTTGTTAAACTGAAGTAATCTGCCAGGAAGTAGCACTTTTTAAAATGTATATTAATGAATTATGGACCTAAAAGAAGTTTCCTCTTTCAGATTACTTTAAGCCCACATTTGACCCAAACACTGTTAACAGACAGATAAAACTGTCTGAAGACGACAGTAGGGCCATACATGTGAGAGAGGACCGGTCCTATCCTGACCACCCAGAGAGATTTCAGGACTGTCCTCAGCTGCTGTGCAGTGAGGATCTGACTGGTCGCCATTACTGGGAGGTGGAATGGAGCGGATGGGTGGATGTTTCAGTGAGTTACAGAGGAATAAGCAGGAGAGTGGAGAGAACAGACTGCAGGTTTGGTGGGAATGAGAAGTCCTGGAGTCTGAGCTGTTCAGATGGGGGTGGGTACTATGTTTACCACCAGAAAAGAAGATCATTTATCTCACACTTATCCGCTGCGCCTAAGAAGGTAGTGGTGTATGTAGATTACTCAGCTGGAAGTGTGTCGTTCTTCAGAGTCTGTGATGATGCTCTGATTCACCTCTACACCTTCAACACCACCTTCACTGAACCTCTGCGTCCAGGGGTCGGCTTTAGATTCAGGCTCAGGTCCAAATTTGATTCCTTTGCATCGTTATGCTCCCTGTGATCTATCACCTGAAGAACATCTCCAGGATTTGAGGACTAATGTCTCAGCCAGAGCTAGAGAAACTCATCCATGTATTTATCTTCAGTTGCATTGATTACTGTAACAGCATCTTCACAAATCTGTCCAACAAATCAATCAAACAGCTGCAGCTGATCCAGAAGCTGCTGCTTGTGTTCTTACTAAAACCAGGAAGATAGAGACATAACAGCAGTCTTAAAATCCCTCCACTGGCTCCCTGTAGCTCAAAGAATAGATTTTAAAATACTGTTAGTTTACGAACGGTTTAGCACCACGATGCATTAAAGATCTGCTGTTGTTGTATCAACCTTCCAGAACCATCAGGTCTTCTGGTTCTGGTCTGATCTGCATCCCCAGAACCAGAACCAAACAAGTAGAAGCTGCTTTCAGCATCTATGGACCAAACATTTTGAATAAACTTCCAGAAAACTGTAAAACAGCTGAAACTTCCTTTAAATCTTGTCTAAAAACGCACCTGTTTAGAATTGTATTTGAAATGTAATCAATTAAAGATGTAATGATGGAACTTAACTTAATGTATTGTTTATTCTATGTTGCATGACTTTGTGTTTTTGTGTTTATGATGTAAAGCATTTCGAAATGCCTTGCTGCTGAAATGTGCTGCACAAATAAAATTTGATTGATTGATTGTGATCAGATTTTACACTGACCCGATGGCTCAGTCTGCAACATTAACTCCACCCACTATGTATTGATTTATATTTGATGTCTGTTTTGGTATGTTTAATTGTTTATATTTTTTAACTTTGATATTTTGTCTTTTAGTTTTTTTACTTGCTGCAGTGTCAATTGCCCATTTGGGACACAAGTAAATTAATAATTTACAGAACTGAAATACATACAAATAATAGGGCCACAATAAGAAAATGAAAAAATAAAAATCATAATGTTTTTATTCTTTTAATACAAGAGCTTTATTCTTGTAAAACTATTCTTTTACAATTGTATTCTTGTGTCTTCATTCTCATAATTTTATTAACTCTTTCCTATTATGGTCTTAAAATAGTATCCTAGGTAATACAGAAAATATTTCATCAGCAGAAGTGTGAAAAGTGATAAAATCTATTACATTTATTTTTAACAATGTCAAGAGAAGAAACAGCTGGAATACTTTGTGGTGTGCGTGTTGCCCTCTGCTGGAAATTATGTGGAAAGACACCAGCTGGAGGAAAAAATAGATTTTTTTTTTTTTTACTGTATAAATGATAAAAGTGACGTTATTTAGTAAGTGGGAAAAATCTAAAAATTCCTTTAGTTTACTTTGTAAGTAAATGAGTTTATGTGTTTTGACCAAACTTAATCTTGTCCGGATCACTGCACAAACATACGGAAGAGGATTAGGGCCACCTAAGAATTCAGACTTTTTTTTCCCCGGTGGCCCTGATCCTCTTCCGTACAAACGACTCTTCACCAGTTAATACAGTAAAGTGTAAAGAAAATGTCTGAAATAAATAAAAATTAAATCCCGTAGAAATATTTTCTGCCATTTTTTAGTTTTATTTCCCAAAACACATCCTTCAGCTGGAATGAGCACACATGATGGTCAATAATATTGATTTAATTCAAATTGCCACGTAAAATCAGAGTGTTTTTATGCTGAATTAATGATCAATTCCTTTTGCAACATGAGCATCAATCTGTTATGTAACAAGAGCAAACATAATATAGTGAATATAAATTAAATCTGACGTGTGATCGCATTCTGGCAGAAGAATATTCAGAACTGAAACGAGGCTCATAAAGATTTATTTAAGTACAATAAGACACTTCAGGCTTTTCAATATCCACCAAAGCAGTGAAACATATTTACACTTATTTACATCAGCATAAAGCTATGCAAAATGTTAATATTTCCATTTGAGTTTCCTTCTGTGATGGTGATGTTAATTTAGTGGCTGAATTGTGTCGATCTGCTGCAGAATAAACTTAAAACAATGCAAATGTGCCACTGTGGCTCAGTTACATCAGAAAAGTTATTAGAAAGTTTAAATTAACTGAAGTAAAATTCACTTTTCTTAATATAAGAAACAAATACAAGTAGAAATAGACATTATCACAATATTGAGTTTGATAATCACAATGTATTAAAAATGTCACATACATTAAAAATATATATATTTTTCCCAGTGATTTCTAAAAATTGCACCTCAACCCTTTAATTCTAAAAAAAATCCCAATTAAATCAGTTATTAATCAAGATTCATTAAGAAAATTCACATGTCTCAGTACCTGCATGTCTAACTTACATAATGTCACTAAAATGATATTTTCAGATCTTTTTGCCTGCCGTATTTTTATCCAACAGATCATCACATGAATGCCATGTAACACTGCAATAAAAACCAGTATGTGCTTGTAATTTGCCCCACAGACACGAACACGTGGCATCATTAAAAAAAAGCAACAGATGTGTAAACTCAGCTCAGATTCAGCTGCAGGACTGATCCATAACAGACTTTACCATCTTCAAGGAACACTGCTTTCTTTTCTTGGCAAGAAAAGGTTTTGTTGACACCTAAGTTATCCATCTGTCAGTTTACTTTTACGTTGCAACCTAAAAAGAGCTAAAACGCAATTAAAACATGAATTGAAATATCAGATTTCTCTTATGAGAATAAAGAACATTTGGTCATAAAGTGTAATTGTGCTTCAAATAGCGGAAAATTTCCACAGAACAGCTGAACTCATAAAATTACTGGATAAAAGTAAAAGCCACATGGATGGTCCTATACAATCTTTTGCAGTTTTTCCTTCATTTTTACCTTTTGACACTTTTTAATCAAACTTATTGAACAAGTTTATTCAACGAGGCAAAACTAATGTGTCCTATGCTTCAGTTTATGCGACCAATTAATCTTTCTCAAAGACCTTCAGGCGACACATTACCTCCATAGATGTATTTTTATCATCCCTTAATAATAATAATACTAAATTGTGCAACAATTCTTTGTGCAATTTCTTTTCTTTGCTTTTACAGCCGCTCATTCATCGATTATTTAAACATAACAGTATCACATTTGCAACAAATCTATTAAGAAATAATTAAAAATCATTTTAAGAAACACTTTGAGAAACGTTCCTTAGCATATCTAGAGTATTATATCTGTCTTCTTTAACACCTGTGTGTGTGTTTCGTCAAATTAAAATGTTAAAGCAGAAATCTGCACAGGAACACATGCATGACTTTGGTGATCTGAATTATCAGATTCAGATTATTAAACAGTAAGACGTCACTTTTAAAGTAACTTAACTGTGATAAAAAAGATCAATTCTGGCTCATACCTAAAACATTTGACTAAAAGCTGCTGACTCTCAGCCATTATAAAGTGCTCACAATCTCTCGTCTAAAGCAAACTGGCTTCGGTTCGCTGGGCTTCTGGCCGAGCGTTTCTGGACTCCCAGCAGTCCTAATGACTCCTGAAGAACTGTAGAGAGAGTTCGTACATCAGGAACATGGTGGAGCTCATCGGGAAACCTCGGATGGCGTTCACTGAAGCTCCCCGGAAGAAAACCTGCAGAGAAAACAGTACAGTTCTCATTTTAGGAACTACTTTTTGAGCTTTGAGTTTGGGTTTTCCAATGGTTCTTATAGTTCAGGTGGAGAGTCATAGATGCTCTTTCCACTCTATGAAGACATATTTGCGATTACATGAGCAAATGGTGAGACATGGACATGCAAATATAAGGACAGACACTGCAGCTTTTATAAGCTTCCTCAGCAGTGTCCTTAAACTCAGCTCTTCACCAAAAGATCTTAAAAGCTCCTTGTAAGCCATTAAACACATTCTAGCAAACTTTTATGTTACATCACGAGGTAATAGTCACAGGTGACATTTGCTCACCTTGCTTATCTCGTCTGTGCTGTAGGTTTTATAAATTCAGCTAAAAACGAACAAGCTCCAAGAATTGCACACAGTTTTCTGCCTGAACGTTAAAACAAATTTATTCTTTGACATGCATTCAGTATTTGTCGCTTAAATGTCAATCTTTTCTAAATGTTAAATTATAAAGGGCAAATTAAACAAAGCTGAACAGTATCTGAAATTAATTCATTTGCCATATATATATAAAAAAGTGAGATAAAATATATGGTGAAGTGAGATAAAAACATAAAAGTTTACCAAATGCAAAAGTAATTAAAGTGCCTTTTGAAAAGAATATTTTTCTCTCATTTTGAAATTTGTAAAGAAAATTCAGATTCTAGCAATTAAATATTAATCAGTTATTTTATCTGCTGTAGTTTAAAAACAGGTTTGCCTTAATGAAAGTGAGCTTGCTCAATAAATTTGGCAGAAATATTGGAAAATAAATGATAGAGGAAGACTTTATAAGCCATTTAGAAATGTGTTGATATGTAATAAAACATGAAAAAACAGAAGCGCTAATTATCAGCTAAACCACATAGAACTGAAAATAAACTTTAAACAAGTGGAAAATATACAAAAAGGTTGCATCATTATTTGCATAATCATGGCCAACATATTTTTATGATAATATAACAGAAATAAAAAGTCAATAAAGTTTTATCTTTAAAGATAAATCTAGTTTGATTTTTCCTGTTCAGACCAGTTGGTGGCAGTAATGCACCTTATAGTTTGCCTGGCAGCCGTCATTAATCTCCAGAAGAAGGTGAAAAAAAGAAAAGTTAATTAAGGTTAATTTAATCTCAGTAGAAATGACTTTATTTTGTGTGACCTTAGCTTTTAAAATCCTAATTTAAACAGTTTTTATTTGCTTTTGCCGGCTTTGTGATTAGTTTGAATGGCTTTTTATCAGCTCCGAAATCAAACAGCAGGACTAAGATAACCGACTTTTATCGGCTTAAAAGAATTTTAAGCTGATAAAATAATAGGTCATACAGAGCGATTTGTTATTTAACTTTGCAGGACTCTGACCCGTTTTAACCCGAGCCATTGATCAGCGAGCGTCAGGCTGCACAAACAGTCCAGTACACTTTCTCAGAACATCAATGATCTTCTGGTATTGATCACATGACTGCTGCTGTTTTTATCAACACAGATGTGGTGACGTCTCTCCACTGACACAACAAACAGTCCTGACATCTGGACGCAGCGTTCAGCGGCGGACCGGGCCAAGAACGAGGCCCAGTTACAGCCAGTCAGTCACCTGATGAACCCCCCACCATGCAATCAGCACAATGTCACCAAAACATGTCCTGTTTCTGGAACATTTGCCTCCTTAAGTCGTCACTTGTTTTCCAGTTAGAGTTGTTGTTTTTAAGTGAAGTTCAAAGGAGAAAACAGGTTTCAGGGGAATTCACACACAGTTTGTCTCCAGTTGGGATTTTAATGTGTAATGAACCATTAAAAGGCCAGGAAATAACAAGTTTAATGATTAATGCTAAATGTTTCCATGTGAACTGAAGCATATCCATATCCTGCAGTTTGTAGTAAAGAACAAATACAAAACTAAATGGTGGCTGTTTTATCCCCAGTTTAATGACACAAAACTTAAACTGAAATATTCTGCAGATTAATAATATTGTTAAATATATTGTAGAGTATTCACAGCCCTTAAACTTTACCTCAACCAGGAAGTTACATTTACAACAATCTTTAATAAATTAGAATATACATGCCAAAGATTCTAGTTTGTCAGATTAAGAGAACAAG